ATGATGATTCTCCTGATACATAAGCACTACAAATTACCAGTGCACAATGGCTAGGTCCTAGTATTTTCCAGTAGTAATTTTATAACTTTTACCGATTTTACTCACTTAATCGAAATTCTTAGTAGACAATCGTGTCCAGACATCCATGTACCTACTCTTTTTTTTATTTTAAACTCTACCCAAATACAAATGGATATCCAAATTCGAAATCCAATTGCACATTAACATTTCTATACAGAAGAATTCGTCGCGTTTATATCATTAGCATATAATTAGCAAATATAATATGGTCTAGACTCTAGACTGTTATTTAAGCACTAGATGACATAACACTTTAGCACCTAGGTGTGTTTAATATTTTGATACCTGACATTGCATTCACCTTCAAAATTTTTTCGGCGCAATTTTCAGTACATGTGTACGTACTAATGAAATTTAACGTAAGCACTTGTATAAATATGTATAGAACTATTCTTTACGAGTCGATTTCGACTCGTAGATTCAATCTAAAAGTCGATACATCAGTACAGAAGTCTTAGGATAGAAATATTACCTATAAGAACCTATATTCGTACCCGATCCTTGATTGAAAACTTACCTTTATAATTACCATGGCACTAATTAAATGTCTCTCTACCTCTACATAATACTAAATATGCAGTGATAATAATAGTGTTAGAAGTAGTATTAAGTTAATTTGTTTCATAAGTAATAGCAATAAATCTTGTAATTGAGTACTATAAAACTTGAGTAGTAAATCCCTAATTGAATAATTCTAGCTATCAAAATATCTACGTCTGTATTTTCAAGAACTCTTAGCTTCAAGTGACTTTCCTTTGAATACTTAAATAATAAAGAGGATTGCATAATTACACAATGTGTGCACATGACTATATTATTCAAGATGATGTGATGCAGTGCCGTTTTTATGAATTTGGAGCTCGAAAACAGTCGGGCGTGCCCGAAATTCATCGAGCTCCAAAACAGTCGATTTTGCTCCGAAAAATGCATTAATTTCCTCAAAAATTTAACTAAATCGAACAAGCCATTGCCCTTTTGACGAAGTCTTTCATCTTTCATGTGTGTAGATAGATAAACTGTCAGTTTATAATAATGAATACTGTATCGTAACGCGGTTATGTCACAGCTCAGTATATCGATATTTGAGCCGCTATTCCTACTGCACTTTTGACCTCTTATATCTCTTAACTTGGCCGTGCTACATAGGCAGTATAGCTTAAAGTAAGTATATTATCTGCTACAAAACTCAGTTTTTTACAATATTTAAATGAATAAAAATATGTATTAGTACAAAGTTGCATCTAAAGTTCACAATTTTTTTCGTGAATTTAAATTTATTTTAAGTATTTTTTTTATTTCACGTACGAATAAATAATAATTTAGTTAGTTTATTTTAACAAACACAACATAGGTACCTACGAATAAATAATTTAATAATGATTATAATTACTGTCATAATAAATAAAAAAATGGCCGAACTTTTCCATGTACTTATTAAAGCAGTGAACTAAGATAACTTCATTTATTTAGGCCGATCATACCACGATATCCCACATTTATAGGTACACACGTACGTATGTACAATAAGTACTTCCGCATATTGTTAAACTTTGAGGAATTCGTAAATCGCGAATAATAGCCGTTAAAATAAAAAGTACATAGGTACAGTTTTCCGTTTGCCTCCTATATCCTTCTATTTGTAGTTGATAAAGAATCGGATTTTCCCAGTCAGAAACTTCTATACACACTTTTTTCGATGCCAGAAACAATGAAGTAACTCCTTAGTACATACGCGTCGGTTCTAGGCCGATAAGACTTACGTTAGACATAGGTGTACCAACTCAGATGAAATTGAAAAATAGCTTTAATTTGTTTTCCATTACCTACAACATACTAGGGAACTCCCTTTTAAACTATGACTGTTTTCTATACAAATATATACAATATAGTATAGTGTGTGTTAGTTACAGGGAGTCAAACTATTCGATAACCTGACTATCTTATAATTACTTGAAATAAGTTTACACGGACGGGGCACGTGTTTACAAAACAAGCTGATAAAGTATTCTGCCTCAAGATATTAATTAGAACAGCTGATCGCAATAAATACGATCATTCCTTGTATAGTAGTACGCAAATACATAATAATCAATTAAATGTAAACATTGATCAACATGTCAATATCGTAGAATGACATTGATGCGATAGATTGACGTACCTCGTCTAATTTCGAGCTCGAAATCAGTCGGGCCTGCCCAAAAGTTGATGACTACCTTTCGCCTTAAAGTAACTTAATTGTTAGGTTTCAATCAAATTCTTAAAAAGGCGGTAACTTCTTTGGTATTGCGGGTGGCCATAAGCAACGCCGGTTGTTTAGCATCAGGTGATCCGTCTACTCGTTTGAAGTTATACAAAAATTTAACGCGATGGTTAATCAGTTAGTAAAACATTTTGCAAATAAAAAATATATAATAGTCCTAATGTTTTTGTTAACAGGTAAATGCAGACATCAACGTCCTGCCATTCTGCACACAGTTCATCCCTATGGAAGTGATCACATACCCTAAGTATGAGAGCATATGCTACCATCCCAGTATACTGCCCAGGCATAGAGGAGCTTCTTCTATCAACTGGTAAGTGGCTCTACTTCTAGTTAATTAAAACTTGAATCAGTTTGTTGGGAAAGTTGCTCTACTTGGTACATTTATATTTCATTGCAAATATACCCTCTTCAAGGGACAGGACTCTTAAGTTTAAAGAAATTGAAAATGTCCTTCTTAACCTTTTCATTTAGATAAAACGTTATACCTAATATGTTACCAGCCAGCATTCGACTCATTTTTTTTTTTCGATTACGGATGATACGTTGACACTAGTCCCCTTTAAGATAACTGCATTAATTTAAGTCGCAGTACTTATTAGTACTAAGTAAAAAAATATATTTAAAAAACATTGTGTACGGTACGTGTATCAAAACAAACAAGCGATAACTAATGTCACAAATCATGTTAAGTAATTATGTTATAACAAAATGTTTTATAGGCATAAGAAATTGTCTTGTAATATTATCGATA